AAGTAGCTATCGCTGTGTATGTGTGCTCGATCCTTGAATAAACTAAAGAAATTTAATCTTTTAAACTTCTCTATATGCTTTTGTATGGAAAAGACAGGTTTCATTCTATCTCAGGACCTTTTTAAGTTGTAAAATAAACTTGAATTATTTATATTTAGAATTTTTGAGGTAATAGTCACTTGTCTTGATTGCTTTGTCTTAAACGAGATCAAAGCAGCTGTGCGAGTTGACATTTATTAGTATACATGCGGAAGAGATAAATGAAGGCATAGGTAGTTGGTAGAGCAGAGGACTAAAAATCCTAGTGGCACCAGTTCAAATGTGGTTTCTGGAAGATCTCTACGTTGAAGTTAAATCTATAAGGGCTTAAATTACTGTAATTACAATCTGAGTTTCAAAACATTAAAAACACTTTTTGTCCGCTTTTTCGAAAATAATTATCTTCTAGTTGACACTGTTTCCTACTTCTGTTTAGATAAAGAACATCTTGTAAAATATTTAAGTCAGTTACGATATTATCTTTGTGTTATGGCAATACTGGGCAACTATGAGGCATTCAAAAAATTGGGCGGTTTCGTAATATGAAAATGAAAAAACACATCGAATATCTGCACTATTCTGGCAGTCGAAAGTAAATAAAACATGTTGGATAGACTAGACATTTACTTTCATGGATTCAATATGACCTATACAGCAAGAAGACCAGAAAAGCGACGGAAGTATTTGGAAAGACCGGGTGGTCAAGGAGAAGGGAGGATTGTCGTCCACGGGAAGGAAGGACAAACTAGCAAGGGAAAAATTGGGTCGGCCAAATGATTTTAGCTTTGAACCTTCTAAATTGTAATGAAATGTGAATTTACCCTAGACGACCTCGGAATAGAAGCGGAATGAAGTCTTTTGTTTTTCCATCTCACGAGATGTTTAAGAGCATGACCGAAGTCGGAAAATCTACGGTGGTCGTGAGATCATTCGTGTGCTTGATCTATACACATTTATGAAGCTTTATACTTCCTGTTGGCATTCGATAATGAAGGTCAAGAGTCACGATAAATGTAGACGAAAATCCTCAATTCGAGTTTGACACTTGAATCTGAGCTAACATTCGGCTGACACTCGAGCTGTGCGTCTCGGGTGGCGAAGATGATGACCAGCTAGAGCAAACCAGTTACCAGTATAGATCATTAGCAGAATGTGTGGCACCAGACGATCTGCCGACTGATCTTAAAGCCATCCGTCAATACCATCGGTGTTTACTATTCTCAGTCCGTATGGAGAAATTAAAAAAACGCGTGAAGAAGGAATGGAATGAGAAGGCGTGATTTTTGTCCTTACCTGAGAACTTAACTTGTCGCTGTCAAAAAAGGGCCCATGTGGACCCGGTGGGTATAGTAACATTGGAGTCGGGTCCCCTCATCTCGTGATCTCGATGGGAGCCCTACACGGTATTGTGTATACGACGCGAAAAGTGATTGCAATCACAATCAATGCTGGACATGTGCATCCCATCCACAATTGTAATCCTCCTCTCTCAGCATGCGAAACATCGCAGCAGCTGCTGGCAGCAGCACCCTCCCTTTCGGTAGGCCCCATTCAATCCACTTTCCTCAATGTACTTCCACTGTCCTCGTCCTGCTCCTCGAAGTTCCGAAGGCTTCATTGACTTGCACGTCTTTTGAGGTGGGTATGGCAAATTACGACGTCGAGCGACACAGATTACATGTGACAGATACTCAATACTTCTCCATGTGCTCTAACGGTATACTAGCCTGGAGTTGCACAATGCACTGTACTTTAGGCTTCTTGGATTCAACATAAACAGTTTCCTCTCTGATTTCTGACGTATGCCACAGACGTAGTCAATAAGGCATGTTTGTCAAATCATAGTCTCGATCTTCAATAGAGCAAAGATCACAACCATTATGTTGTTACGTGAACGCATGGAATGCTATGCTGTTATAGAAGCCCAACATCCTCCAAGCTTTCAGAAGCATGCACTTAATGCGGGCGAAGCTGCACCTTCAATCAGAACGCGCTCATTTGCAGTACATGCCGCAATGATAACACGTACTTGCTCCACAGCTAATAACGGTAGTCATCCTTCCGGCCAAGTGAGCTACTGTGGCTTTCATATTACCCCGTAGAAGTTGACGCATGTGATCGCAAGCACAACCCCTGCCTATTCACAACGTTATCCCCTGCTGCAGTAGGCCCCTTCGCATCCTCGACAACCATTTCTAGTCACAAAACTCTTGTGGGTCTCATTTTCTGCAAGGAGATAGTAAACGTTGTTAGTGACAATTGTCAGTGAAGCTCAAGACAGGTATCGTCCAGCGAGCTTTGTTCTGGCCTCTGGGATCTTGCTTGGTTTCAGTTGGGTGGTAAGGAAATGTGCATGCACATCATCTGGCACAAAGTGCTTAAAGACTGCTCCGTGCATGGACCATGTGATCGAATTTCGCCAGTCCTTTGATCTTGCACTTTATTGAACTGTGACATATTGGTGAGAGTACGAAGTACTTGATCAAGTTCTCGAAAATCGAAGTGGAAGATCTGGAGGCTGTGAAATTCTTCCCTGTATTTAGTCGATCTAGATTTCAGGTGAAGAATATCCTGTGACAGTGACTCAATTTTTGCTCGTCCTCATGAGATACCGAGTGTAATATTCGGCAAGTGTTGAAGAGCTGGGAAAGTTGTGACTATACAAAGATCGACAGAAGTTGATGTCCAGGAAGGAAAAGTAAAATAATCTATCACTTTGCAGGTAATGACCAGATGTGCGTTACGCGATCAGCCAATGCTATAGGCAACGCGCTGCATCGAGGATATGTCATGATGATTGAAATACTGTATCCCCAAACCAGAACGCAACCCCTTCTACCGTAATATTTAACTTAGAATTCTTGCTTTTGTGACAGAGTAATCATCAAATCGTATCTTCGGTATGTATGAATGTGTACAGGAGGAATGTCAGTGAGACAGAAGAAACGAAACGACCGACATGGAGTTTGCGCTTTTGATGGGGTTGTCAGTTCGATGCTACGGCGATGGAAGCTGTACACTTATTTGGCTCCTTGCAAATGTGAACTTTTGACAGAAGGCGGACTCCACTCTGTCTGACGTCCAAGACACCCATGCTGTCGCTACGATCAGATCAATCATGAGACTGAGCAGAACGAATATCTAGGAATGTAGCACAGAAGTTACGTGTAGAGGCCAGAATTGACGTACTTGAAAGGGGTTTGTATTTGGAAAACGTCGCTAACCATCAGCCCACGGCCACATTCGATCTCTCCGCCTGAACACACGTTGTCATGATTTCCTGCAAAGGTGTCACGATATACGATTCTGGAGTGTTTTTCTACAGCTGTTCTGCACTCGAGGCGGAAGAAGAGAAACTTCTGGTGACGTGATGGAGACTCACGCATGCATGTTTTAATGCATGGAAGCATGTTCCTGTTAAGATTACCTTCAGTCGGAAGCCTCACTTGAAGGAGCAGCGGAACGGCCATGCGTGGGAATGGTGAAACAATTTTCTCTTCGTAGCCACGAGTCAGGCACGAACAAAGGGAAGAAGAGAACGCAACCATCCGACAATGAATGAAGAGTCAGAGATGGCAAAAATTCCATCGGCGTCTGACCAGAAAAAAGTTAGGACATTCAGTAAGTCCATTGACTGCCAGAATAGCTATGCATAACAGCTTCATCAAATTTCACGTAATATCTGAGCGGTTTGTCGAGGCGGACTCGTGAGTTGTTGATATATCGACCTGGTGGAGACATTTGACAATCAAAATCTAGTACACAATCAAACCTTTCCTTGATCATCATCGCCTGAGCTAGTAGAAAGTTGTCTTCACTGCCCCTTCCCATCCCTCCCTGCAGCGTCCGCGGCATCAACCTTCTGAGGAGCTAATTTCAAGCAAGATTCAGCGTGGATAGTTCTAAGAGAAGATTTGTCAGTTCCATTTTAATTTATGCCGATTGGGCTGGTCATTACGCACGAGAATATTTGATTGATCTGATCACTACAACATTCATTTCTTCTTCTGAATCAATGGACTGGGTTAGTGATTTGAAACCGAGATGGCAATAGGCCGCGAGCTAAGTGGTTGTTCTACTCGGCTTGAGGTTCGAGGTAATGAATAGTCTTCAAAGCTCCATTTCTCCTCTTCGCTTCATGGTTTTTGTCAACTGTGCCACCTCACTTGCCGTCATTTTCATCCACGGAACCTTTGAAGCGTACGATTATAGACGTCAATCACACGACACACCGCAACACAAATATTATCATAGCGGTTGCCGTGAATAGTTTGCACAATGAGCAAGTCTCGAGGAGTACTCATCGAGATAACTTTATCGCTCTAGTACCTCTTACCGTAACTGTTACACGCGTGCTAATACATCAGTACAGCAGCTGATTTCGGGAGAAACCATCGAAAGAGCTCGGGTGGAATTCTGCAGATGATTGCTGCAGGCCTGGACACAGGCAAAATGTGACTGTTTTATCCAATGCTCGGGCGCGCATGGACCGATGAACTCACTCGCACTTTTCGCGTCACACGTGGGACAGAAGCTGGCAAGCACTGTCGACATATTCCGTCTGAGCACATCCTATTTGGTAGAGGCCGAGACGACCTATTCCTCCTCTCGCGTATATTCCGACCCATCGCTAACGACAACGAGATGCTCCTTCCAGCTTCCATCTTACCATGTCGAGCATAGCATTTAACGATTATACAATGAGCATCGGCCTGAACATCGCAACTGATCAGCAATTGCCACACCGGGCAAGTGCCAAGATTACACTTCTTGTCATCGAAATCCAGGAGAATATTGATGCGTCCAGCGCTTGCTGAACAATGGTATACGAGTCCCCGCTCAGTCCATCCACGGTGACCATCCAACAGAATTTGTCTACCATCATTCATTAGTTTAACACTCACTAGTACAACAATCTCGGAGTCAAATGACGATGTCAGTCACACCACTCACAGACTTTTAGTGCTTCAAATTTTGGTTGAACTTGATACCCAAACTGGAATGTTTGAGTTCCGTTTCAGATTGCCCAGAGGAGAAGAGTACATGTGGAAGTCGACGTTCACGGGTTCGCCAGCTGGTAGCTGACACCACGTCGACAATCTTTCACTTTGATTTGCAAATCTGTATATTTAGCGATGAGTGAACATACGCGTGAACCTAGAGAGCCGTGGCCCGGTTGCGAGGCGGTATGCGCACGCAGCTCCGGCTTCAGGGGGCGGCTGTTGAAACTTCGTAACAATTCGTTCAGGTAAGGGGTTTGAAAGCGTATAATCAATGAGGGCCGTGGAATTCCGTGACTGGACAGATAGAAAAGTGTCACTGGAATATGTCTTCGAACGAACTGCTCTCGCAAAATTCTTTGGCAAGAAAGTAGAATTGAGGAAGTTTCTCTCGACTTCTTTGGCTTCGAATATTCCAACCTGGAGGGAGCGGGTGTGTGCGGTCGAATCCTGGACCGCACGGATAGTGGCCAAGTATTCGCCATCGAAGGTTCTGTGCGTGAGCTTCGTGGAACTTGGTATCCTGCTTGCACCCGTAGCCAGGGACCGGAGATGAATAACCTGAACCGAGTGAGGTGGGGTCACTCGCCACGCATCTGAATCCGGGATTAAATCAGGAAGAAGAATGTCACTTTCTGTTGCAGTGGGTCATCCGGGAGCGCGATGACCCAGTCCATTGCCTGATATCTTCCATCCAGCGATCGATACAAGACCCGTCAATTTATCCAAAGTTCGGCTCCCTTTTGCACCTTCCGGACAGTCTTCAACACCTCTGCGGCTTTCACGTGCCCGGTCACAGTTAATTTCTCCTTCCTCAATTCCATCTTCACCTGCTTGACACCTTCCATTTGCAGCAGCTTGCTCTTCAGCTTTTGGACTCCAACGTCGGAGCTGAGAGAAACCTTCAATTCGACGGTAGCCTGTGCGGACGAAAGCTGATGTCAGTATATCGCAAAACTACGAAAAGCTTCAGAGGGCTCCAAACCCCATTCTCTGCATCACGAGAACTCACAGGCAGACGACCTCTCGGTGAACTCAAACGAAATCAATCAGAGAACGACGACGCAAAGATTCTTACGGGGTATGCTGTGCGAGAGTCCTGCAAGACGAGCCGGGTCGGGTGCTTGATAGAGCTCGACGCCATTAAGGAAGATCGGGCAGAATGTTCATTAACCACCTGCAATACAAAACAACCGAACACACAGCGAAGCGAATTGTCAGAAACAGCCTCCGACTCGTTCTACGCATTCTGTGCTAACGAGATCAGGAAAGCAAAAACTCATCGTACACAGATTGCCATCCTAAAATCCTAACGAGAGCGTGTAATGCCAACCTGGGTGTAGGGTCCTGGCATCCTGGACGCGCGAAGAGTGCACAGGCAGCTCTGGCGATGCTAGACCGAAGTCCTCTGCCTAGTCTCGAAAACTACACTCTTATCTCGAAGGGGAAACAGATTTCGACTGAGAAAATTGCGAATTCGAGAGTTCAGACTGGCAACAAACTGCAGAAAGAACGACAGACTCAGAGCAATGCTGAGGCCGTGGGGGCGAAGAGCACTCACGTGAAGAACTGTAACGAGTCCGGGCAACGAGTCCGAATTATAAGAGAGGCTCCGATCGGCTCCTGGCGAGCGGGACGAAGCGGAGCGCGGAGACTTGAGGTGGTCCCAACTGCCTCTTGCCTACCCAGCCACTAAGCGGGCGCCGGCTGTGTTTGTTCTGTTCTGCTCGCCGGTCGAGTTTCCCCTCCAGGATCGTCGCTGCTGCCGGCTCTCGGCTCCTCGACCGGCTCGCGAGCTCGAGATCGTCAAGTCCACGTACACAAACGCGTTCTGCTGATAATTCGGAGCAGCATCCGTATAAAGTAGATGAGACTTCCTTGCAAAACGCCAGTAGACGTGGACAGTCGGCCCGCCCCTTTCCCTGGAGTTTCACCGTCGATGTATGTATGTATACCGCGAGAGTAACTTCTACGTCGAGCAGTCCAGAGGCGCGTATGTCTACAGTTCTCGAATCCGATCGCCGATCGAGTCCACTCTGAGATCTGCTCGTCTCGCCGGGACCACTCACCTGTGCCTTAAGTTGGTGCTTGTGTGAAGGGCGCGCGAGGCCTACTGGCGCAAGGCGGAGGGTGAATACTCGTACGTTGCGGGAGTAGACGACGACCAACCCACAACATATATAGGCGCAGTCGTACGAGTAGGGACCTGGGAGAGGATTGAGGCGACGTGAAAAAGCGTGAAGTTTCCTGGATGGTGGGGGCTTGACATGAATGGGGGAGATTCAGAGAATCTTCAGAATGCGGAGAACGCATTCACAAGAAGAAGGCAAGGGGGATGTGGATCATGACATCAGCGTCCGGTTATAAATGGACGTCGAGCACCTACTATTACTACTAGAGCTAGCGACACTCCGCTCTCAAGATTGTAGCATTCCGGAGACCGGGTTAGCGCCTAGTTCCTACCTAACTTATCAATGCCAGCAGGCTTGACACAAACCAACTTCATGACCACCATACATACCAGTTCTAGCTACGCGGATCCTCCTCCGGACTCTCTGGAGCTTGTAGAGCACTGCAGCGCTCCAGCACTCGAGGCGCGAGGCGGGGGAGGCCGGAGGCCGGGGGCCGGCGAGGTAAAGCACTGCTGCACTCTTGTGCCCTTATCTGGACTGGGTTACCCTGGTCCCTGGATCCATCGGAATCCGGATTCCGTATGTTCCTTCTTCTTTGGCCTTATCGTTTTACTCTTCTTCTTGCGCTGGCTGGACCCCACACACATGTATCTGCTTTAGCTTTGGCTGTGGTTGCTTCATCAAATCACCAGTCTTCCCTCTTCACCTCGGCCCCCGTTCGCTTCTGAGTAATTATTGCCGGCCTTCGCATGCATCAGGCGCCCTGGCCTGTAGAGTCCAATAGATCATCTCGTCTATCAATTATTCAACAAGGTGATCTTCCAACCTTCACATCAATCCCGGCTTACTTCTCTTGTACTCGAACAAAACCTTGACCTTACTGCCTCTATGTCAACCATGAAAATTGATCTGAAGGACATCTCCTTGGCATCCTCCATTCAGAAGAGCCCACGCCGTCGTTGACTTATTATTTTGCTTCACCTCGGGTCACTTGCAGCTTATCGAAAACTATCTTTGAATCTCATTTCGTTGCAGTAGTTCGAAAGTGCTCCTTTGGGTATAAGCCATATAATACTTAGACAACCTCCATCATCTTTGAAGAGGAAAAGAAAAGCAGGGGCTCCATAATCTCCCAGCCAAACAAGTGTTCGCAACACAAATTCTGACCTTTACTGATGCCCACGACGATAACCGCGTCTAGTTTAATGAAGTATGTAAATCTTCAAGAAAATCAGACCATTTATTCCCCATCTCCTGCTCTGCCTTGACCACAGGACTGCAGAATCCAGTTAGGCAAGATGGAGATCTTGAAATCTAGGCAGAATCCACTCTTTTCCCGGGATGTACTTCCGACTTTCCATTCACATCGATCGATAAAAAATGCTGTGTGCTGTGAGAATATTTGCTTTGGCATCATAAAATATTTTTTCTATATTTATTTGACTGTTTCCGCCCACTACTTTGACTTAAAGCGAGCTCCAAACCCGTGTGCGGGCTTCATCTTCAGCTGCTTCGTCCGATGCAAACCCCTTTCGACCGACACACGAGCGAGTGTGACACAATCATCAGCGTTTACCCTTTCCGTGTTTTGACTGCCGCTAGTCATCGCTGCTGCTCTGTGCGATACATACAGGGGACTACCGTATGCGCATGAGAAGGCCTCCTCTATACCAGACGGGGCCAGCCGCCATCATTCCTACACAAAAGGTTCTTACTTTACGTATGCAAAGTCGTCTGCTCATCCTCACCTCCGAGACCTGGTTCACTCTCCACCAGTTGGCCACATTTTCCTTCGTACTTACTGCACCCTGTAAGCTCTGTCTTTCTCCCCAAACTACCTCTACTCTGTACACCGCCGCGTCCGCTTGCCGTCTCATACATCCACTAAAATCTTTCAATTTGGCTCGTTATTTGCGGCATCAGGCGCTATGTTCTATGCTGAACAGGGGAGAAGGACCAGAATTGAAAGTAGGACAAGCTGCGGACAAACCCAAATCTGGTCCGCGGGCAAGTTTAGGGTACCAAGTGGAGCAGCGAAGCGAGGTTCGTCTAACCCTCGATGTACTCCGCTCATGGAGCCTTTCTCCATCTGCTGCTCCCGACCGTCCCATTACTAGTCAGCGGTCGCTGAAGCGTGGATCCGCACCCGTAGTGAGCCCGCCCGATAAACCAGGCGGTCCTAGATAGGTTGGCTCTACGGCTGTCTGGCTCGAACTGCACCCGTGGCCGCGTCATGGGTTGGCACATTTCCACAAGATTATACTCTTCGGGGATGGTTGACTCGGGTTCAGGACCCTATTGGCTGCACCATTGGCAGACCGACGGAGGTCGTGATGCGCCTCCAAGAGCACATGCCTCGGGGTAAAGAAGGAATACACATTTTACTGGCAAAATGGGTTTGATCCAGAAACCAGTCGAGTTTTTAATTCATCTTTCAGTTATGCACTGTGAACAGGGAGGACAAAACAAATATTTCGTAAATATTAAATGATAGTGCGTCTTAATAAAATCACAAGGTCGTCCGGGGGTCTGTGAGGCATGGAAATGGTTTAAACTTTGTAGTATGTGGACTCTCAAGATGGGCGAAAGTCAGACGGACATCGTCCGTTACGCTTCGGTGCTAGAGGTGGAATTTCTGGTCAGGCGTAGTCATGTGTTAGAGTTGACAAACGAAAGTCACACTTTGTCAAATCAGAATGTGCGTGGAATCTGCAGGGAATGGCAACGTCGGTCTTTGATCATGGTACCGGCAGATGAGTCGTTTCCTGCCTCCACTTATTTGCACCAGCACTCGCTTGCTGAGAATGAGCGTGATAAAGACAAGATAAGGAAGTGATACACCGGAATTGTGCAGAATGAACTCTGTCAGAAGGTGAGGTTGGAATTTATAGTATTCCCTTCATTCCTCTGCCTGTCCGCCATTTCTGATAGGCTAAGCGCCTCCTCTTTGCCGGCAGTTTCCGGAGTTCCTTCTACAATGTTCACTAGTCAAGCGTAAAGTGCAATATGCTGAAATTTCTTTGCAGAACTGGTCAAATAAGAATAAAGTTCGAAATAGAATCTAACCTGTCAACTCCTTCGGTTACCCGTGGCTTCACATGACATGGAAAGTAATATTTTGAAGCACCATCGTATAAATTGAAAATTGAAATCTAAAGACGCTCATAGGCTCTAATGTCATTATTTTGAAGTCACAACGTGTGTTAGATAATATAAATGCACTCTAACCATATATTTTATTAATAATACCTTCAAAGATATTCACTGAGGTAATTTGAATCTTGTGTAAGATATATGATGAAACAGCTATCGTTTTTTGAATCTCTGAACTTTTACAATGATCTTAAGTTAGTCTTAAAATAATTGAAAGATATTAAATGTAGAAATTATAATCTTTTCAAAAGATGATTATATGAGCTTCATTTGCATGTGAAATAAAAAATGAATAAAAAAATAATATGCATGGAATTAAAATATCAGTTATAGATTAAGATTGAATGAAAACATTAATTTTTAAATAAATGAATAGGAAACTGAAAAATTTGATTTCTTAATACGAAATATTTAAAATGCAAATATATACAAAAGTATACAGAAGAGGTTAAGTGACACTAACATTAGTTTATGAGGCATGATGAAACTCAAAAGTGAAAAAAAAAAAAAAACTACATGCAGTGAATATGAAGTAAATTATGCACATATATCATTTTAATCTTAGATGAAATTTTTTTTAAATTTTGAAAATTCATAAAGTAACCTATCAAATTATTATACAATCTTCATGGAAAAAAATTTATGGATAAGGTTTAGTACTTTGAAGCTGATGATGTTTTGATTTCCAAGTTCAAAATCTGTTTTAACTTGAACTTGACTATGAAGCCTCTTACAATATTTTTCATGACACCATTAAATATTTATCACATGATTAAGATGTTCTTTCTTTACAATAATTTCAAAAAATCTGTCTCAATATTGGTAAGCATGTATTTATTTTTTTTAAATACAATTTTCAATCTAAATAATATTCAAACTAAAATGAATTTAACGAAATCAAACTACAGTATTGATTTTTATCAGGACTCGATTAAGTATATATATTGAAGAAAGACCAAAATAGACAAACATGAGTAGATTTTTCACACAATGAGAATGATCAGAATAATGATTGAAGTGACAGAAAGTAGTGAGAACTATAAGAGTAGGTACAACTGGTGTTTATGAGAATGAGAACAATATCTTGAGACTCTCAATACATACTATTACGACGACTCCCATTGCTACTAGTTCAAAATTAGAAACAAATATCATCATCGCTATTGATGATGATTATCTTATTGGGATTATGTCACATACATTATCTACTTATTTTATCAAAAATAGAAATTAGAGTTTTATTATAAGAAGTTCACATAATAATCATATGATTACATCATGAATTGAT